GGGGGGGGCGAGGAGGGGAAAGGGGGGGGAAAAAGGGGGGGGGGGGGGGGGGGGAGACCACAGCCTCTGACAAATGATGATATAATTCATTATGCATTAAACAAGCAGCGCTCGACTGCCTGACATTTCCCCCGGACCGTCGGGATCTGTCTTGACATTTTAAAGAGCTCCTAAGCGTTTTATAACACGGGGAAATCTGGTTTTAATAAGCCTCTCTCTCCCCTACTCTCTCTCACTCGTTCACTCGATTGCTAACAGATCGCGGAACAGACAAAAAACAGAGAGAACGGCCAAGTGTCGACAGCTTTTACCCATTAAACGTACAGTAGTCGAGTGAAAAATTCGGCCCAGATATGAAACACACACACACACTCACAGCGCGCACACACACTCACACACACACAGCGAACTGATGGTGCAAATCCAGGAGAGGTGGCAGCAGGTTAAGTGAAGTCTTCATTAGCGTAGATGAGTACCTGTCGTCGCTGCTCTACTCATTAACCTCTCCCCCGATCTGGGCTTTTCTCACGGCAGAAAACTCCACCATCATCTGCATATACATACATATATGTGTGTGTGTGTATATATATATATATATATATATATAGATGTTCAAGCACTAGGTTATGCACACCACACACAGATACTTGTTCTTCACCCTTATTATAGATGATTTTTCACACACACACACGTTCCGTTCACATCAGCTACGTCTTCAACATCTCACTTCTCTGTCGCGGGTTATTTTAATATTTACAGTTACTGCTCTTTTTAGTCACACTTTTTTACCTAACACTCTTAACCCTCCCCCCTCTCCTCCCCCCCGCCTCCATGTTCAGGCTCCCGCTGGAAAGCCATGACCAACCTGGAAAAGCAGCCGTACTACGAGGAGCAGGCTCGCCTCAGCAAGCAGCATCTGGAAAAGTACCCCGACTACAAGTACAAGCCGCGGCCCAAGCGCACCTGTCTGGTCGACGGCAAGAAGCTGCGAATTGGCGAGTACAAGGCCATCATGAGGTCTCGCAGACAGGAAATGAGGCAATACTTCAGTATGGGGTGAGAAGTTTTTCCACCCATGGTTTTTTTTGGGGAGGGGGGGTTTAGATCCTGTTGTGAACAAGTGTCCTGTGTTCAGAAGTACTTACTAGTGGGAATAAGTCGCCTCGTACTACAGTATTTTATAGTATTTTAAAATTATACATGAACACATGATTGTTTAACTTTGATGATTCTTTAAATTCGCACTATTTTTTACTTCATCCTCAAAATCCCAATGTTACGTGTATTTCCAATGATTTAAAAAAATATAAAAAATATATTAAATATTAAAAAAAATATATAAATATTTTGAAAAATGTAGTACGTTCATCTGCGGACTAATGTAAGACATCAAAATAAGTTCAGAAACAACATTCAAAATGCCAAGGCCAGAAATATATTGAAATAAATAAATATATTCAATGTAAAAAATGTTTTTTTCACTTGTGAAACTTTTATATAAAAAAATAAAACTTAATATATGTACTTTTGCAGCTAAGGAATATATTTCAGTTTTATGTTTGAATGTTGACAGACGCTGTGATGAATAAATATATTTTCCCATATATTTTCTGTCCATCCTGACGATCATTTCTGTGTGTGTGTTTCAGACAACAAGGTCAGCTGCCGTTGTCCTCCGCCGGCGTCGTCTACCCGGGTGCCCTGTCCATGGCGGGGTTGCCCTCCCCCCAGATGCCCTCGGAGCACTCCAGCATGTCCAGCAGCCCGGAGCCCAACACCAACCACCACCAGAACCCCCAGAATGCCGTGCTGAAGGACGAGCCTCGCATCAAGGAGGAGCTGCGGCTGGACGACAGCAACGGCGACATGTACGACGACTTCGACTACGACGACGAAGAAGCGGACTATGCCAGCGACAATGACAACCACATCAGCCAGCAGGACGGCATGTGAGCCAATCCACCCCCCCAGCCCTCCCCCCCGCAGCCCCTCTGCTCTTTAGCCAATCACAGCTGGTTGATCCCGCCTCCTCAAACCCCAAACCCACCAATCAGGAAGTAAAACTTCTCTTTTGCCAATCGTCTGGAGTCCCAATCATCCCCCGCCCCTGAACTCCTCACCCAGACCAATGTGGACTCTTTGAACAGAGCCGGACCCCCCCTCTCCCCCACCCCCTAACTCCCACCCATCC